GAGATGTAGGGTACATGCTGTAGACACTGTGGTTTTTCTCTGAATAGGCTTATTTGGCTGGAAAGGGATGTGGTTTGAGCATGAGCCATGAATGTGCTTGTGGGCATATCAGAATGAAATGCTGAAATGAGGATTATTCCAGAAAATGATCTGAGGAGATAATAATGAGGGATAAGTAATGAGGATCCCATTAGTTAAAGACCTTAAATTGTATCTGTAGCTTAAAATTATGGGGGAGGCATTTGAGAATTTGTGTGGTTCTGGAAATGAAAGACTTTTTTCTTTTTTCTAAATTGCAGAGTGCAGGCACACTTTCCAGCACCTTCTCCACACCCATGAAGAAAAATAACCCATCCAACACAAAAATACCAGATCTGAGGTGTTGTGAGAAGTCCCTCAATTTAAACCCAGCCCTTCTCTCCGTTGCCTGTTTTAGGAAACGTGTCTTGACACCCTCCTCAATGTTACCTTGAATTCAGAATAAAAGTGGGCAGAAAGAATAAAAAATGGTACAATGTCCAAAAGCACCAAGTCCCCATTTATGTTAACCTGACAAAACTGTTTATAGTGTCAGAGTGATTACGACACTTGGGGAGCAGGGAGCCCAATATGATCATGGAGAGTAAAAGCAAGTTTGAGGGACTCTCTGTATTTCCTCTCCATTCCTCCCAACAAGCTACCCCAAGCTCCCTAGGGCAGGGATTCTTACAAACAGAACGATAATGAAACCAACTCCCAACCACTCATTGATGAAGCAAGCAGTATTAACTATTGCTATTTCTTTCATCATCTGGCTGCTGTTTGTAAGCATGTCACTGTTTTTTTTGTTTTTATCTTATGCACTAGTTTTATACCTAGTATTAAGTATAGAACACAAGCCTCCAAGTTTTTTCTACAAGATTTTCAGGGGCTTGCTTTCTCTGTCATCCAAGGGGTCAATGCCTTCGTAATTGCTAACTGCAGGAGAAATTCTCAATCCCTTTTTTGGCATATGATACTGTAAACACCTCCATCTTTGCTCCTATTTCTCTCCCGGTTTCTCTCACACGTTCTGACTGCTCTTTTCTGTGATCTTGCCCTAGGTCTTCTTTTGTTTAACTTTGTTGCTAGATTTTGCATTTTTAATTTTTTTTTAAAGATTTTATCTATCTATTTGAGCCAGAGTGAGAGTGAGAGAGAGAGAGAAAGCTTGCACAAGCTGGGGTGGGGGAAGGGCAGAGGGAGAGGGAGAAGCAGACTCCTGGATGAGCGGGGAGCCTGATGTGGGCTTCGATCCCAGGACTCTGGGATCATAACTTGAGCCGAAGGCAGACACTTAACCCACTAAACCACCCAGGCGCCCTGAGTTTGCATTTTTTTTTTTTTTTAGAGCAGTTTTAGTTTCACAGCAAAATGAAGGAGAAGGTTACAGAGATTTCCCATGTACCTTCCCCCATTATTAACATCCATCCAGAATGGTATGTTTGCTAAATCTGTAAACCTACATTGACACATTATAAGCACCCAGAGTCCACAGATTACACTAGGGTTCACTCCTGCTGCTGCATATACTGTGGGCTTGGACAAATATATATTGACATGTATTCACAACTGTAGTATTATACAGAGTAGTTTCACTACCCTAAAAATCCTCTGTATTCCACCCCTCTGTCTCTCCCCAATCCCTGGAAACCATTGATCTTTTTGCTGCCTCTATAGCTTTGAATTTCCAGAATGTCATATAGTCAGAATCAAACAATATGTAGTCATTTCAGATGTGGCTTCTTTCACTTAATAATACACATTTAAGTTTCCTCCAGGTTTTTTCATCGATTTGTTTCTTTTTAGCTGTGAATATCATTGCACTGTCTGCATGTACCACAGCTTATTTTTCCATTCGCCTGCTGAAGAACATCTTGATTGACAATTATGAACAAAGTTGTTCCAAACATCCATGAGCAGGTTTTTGTGTAGACATAAATTCTTGACTCCTTTGGATAAATACCAAGAAGCATGATTGCTGGAGTGTATAGTGTGATATTGTGATATACTAAGAAATATATATTTGGTCTTCATCCCTGGCTTCTTGTACAGAGCTTCTAATATCCTTATAATGTCCTGAGTGATGGGGTGATAGGAGCATCTTTTGTTATAATATTTGACCTTAGTCCCTGTTTCCTAACACAAAAGCTTCTAAGACACTGGAATCTCCAGAATGATGAATGTCTTTTGAATGCTAATGAGATGTCTAGTGGCTGGGGGCCCCTAGATAGCTTCAGATTGGGGGCTGCTCACTAGAAAGACCAAAGCATGATTAGAGAGTTAGAACTTTCAGCCCCACGCCACACCTCCAGAGAGGGGAGAGGGGCTGGAGATAGAGTTATTCTCCAATGGCCAATGATTTCATCAGTCACACCTGCCTAATGAAGCTACCATAAAAACCTCTAACCACAGGGATCAGAGATCTTCCAGGTTGGTGAATGTATCCATATGCCAAGAGGATGGCACACCCCAACTCCATGGGGCAAAAGCTCTTGTGCTCAGGACTCTCCCAGCCCTCACCTTATGTATCTCTTCATCTGGCTGTTCAGTTGTATCCTCTTTATAAACAGGTAATAGTAAATCAAAACACTTCCCTGAATTCTGTGAGTTATTCTAGCAAATGAGTCAACTCATTCCAAAACTGCTGGAACTAGGTATGCTCCCTATGTTTCTTACTCAGTGAATTTATAACCACCACATCATTCCATCCAGGCTAAAAATCTCAGGTACCTTCTCCCCTTCCTCACCTCTATATCTAATTGCTGACCTAATCCTGTTACCCAGGTTTACGAAATATCATCTGAATCTACCTGCTTCTTTACTTATCCCACTGTGGCCATTTACTTCATGCCTCATCTCTTTCCCAGAATATTGCAAGTTTTCAGACTTGCCTAACATTCTAATTCTCTTATCCCTAATCAAGTCTATATTTCCACATGAGTCATCATTTTAAGGCAGCAAAGTCTTGTAGAACTTTCTGAAATGATGGAAATGCTCTATATCTTCACTAGCCAATAGGTAGCCATTACCTCCTATGTTGCTATTGAGACCATCAAATATGGCTCGTGTGACTGAAGAACTGAATTTTAGATTTAATTGAATTCAAATCTACACAGCCTCATGGATCTAGAGGCTACCATATTAAACGGCACAGTTCTAAAACATGGATTTTTTTTTTATATCCTACCGTGGTGTTTTCAAAAGTTCTGTAACTATAGGATAAGGTCTAGAGTTTGTAGTATGACACTGAATGACTCTCATAATCCAGTCTCTTTTCAGTTCTTGCCACCCGTGCCTCCTCTGCACCAATCCCACATATCTTCTAGCTCTGTCGAACATTGCTTCACCTAAACAAGCCATAATTTTTAGATCTTCGAGCTTTCGATCCTGCTCTTTCCTCTACCTAGCATGCCCTTTGCTTATTTTATTCCTTTCAAAATCTGTGACTTTCCATGCCTCATAAAGCCATGCACACACCCTCCAACAGAGAGACATCCCCTTATCCTTGACCTTGAATAAGCCAGTAGAATCTCTCAGCCCAGTTTTCTCATCTGCAAAGTGGGAGTGATAATATTTTTGGCCATACACCATTGTTGGGGGATTAGATTAAGGCTATCCAGACTCAACCACTGAGAAAGCACTCAATAAGAACTGCGTTACTTTTTTCTGTTCTCCCACAACACTTATCGTGTGATAGATATTAGAGGTCTTTCCAGAGGAGACTCTCTCTGTCTCAAGACTATGAGCTCATGAGCAGCAAAGACTCAATCTAGCTCATCATTATACACCAGCATCCAACACAATGTAGCTATTTGGCAAATGCTTTAACCGGGTGACAAATAATGGGTGAATCAATTATTCACATAGGATGCCACAGAATACTAATTTTTAAAAAAGTATGTCTTTTTGTGAGTATCTTTAGAGAGGAGTCAAAGAAATATACAGTGGCAAGAATGAGAAAAGAGAACGCCATCAACTTCTCTTGTGAAGCATTACATTTTTCTGGTTGCCGCCTAGAAAAACTGGCCTAAGCCTGTTGTTAAATCTGTGTCTTGCTCTCTTGTCTCTCTCTTGACTTGTCTTGTCTCTCCTTGCTTGACTGGAGTATAGCTCTAATGTTTTGGCCATTTTGACTATCTGGGTCCTCTGCCCCACCCTGCCTTGGGTATCAAGCTTCCATCACCGTCACCAAGGAAACAGCAGGGATGGCTCATTCCTCACAGTTCTGCATATCTCAACTCTGGTCGCCTTTGTCCAGTGAGCTAAATTCTTCATGTGCACCCCACTAAATCAACTGTCTTTTATTCAGTACTTTATTCATTATTCTACCTTATTCTACCTTATTCTACCATTCTTGGGAATGGTCTTTTTTCCAGACCTGTCACTATTCTTGAATGCACCAGACATTTTTGGTCCCTGGGAGTAAATACAAAAATTGTTTAGCCCTTGGAGTGTGTGCAGTATAAGTGCGGGTCAATTTTAAAGAAGGCAACAGAGCATTCATAATGGGTTTCCCTTTTAAAAGCACAGTAGACCAAAAATAAACCTGACAAAGGGCAGCTGTAGAGTTTTAACATGTGGAAAACTCCACAGGCGGCAGTTATGTAACTGGAAAGAAAGATGATAAATATTTTACACCGTTAGATGAACTTCCAACTCTGACACGTGAAAAGCAAAGAACACAAAACACAGCTCAACTCTCCAAAGAGCAAAAAAGCTTAGACTGAGAAGGGGCCAAGACTATTGCTAAAATCGGAGCCCTGGCTTCTAGCACGAGTCTTGATTGCTTCCCCCCCCCCCTCTGGCGTCCAAGGAGGAGTCCGCGAGCCCCATCTCCCCCGAGCGCCTCCCCCGCAGCTTCTCCCGTTGGCCAGAATTTTTCCCCAAATCTCCACATCTAGGCTGAAAAACCCAAAAAGTTTTGTGCCACGGAGAAGGAAGACAGGAGTTGGAGCGAGGCACGCAGAGTTGCCCTCCACAGCCGCCTCGCCCCAGCCCCCGCGGCCCGCGCCTCCCGCCCCGGGCTCCTCGCCCCGGGGACAGCTGGCAGCCCCGCGCGGGACCAGACACAAAGCCGATCAATCCCGGTGGCGCGGGGGCGGGGGGACGCCCGCCAGGGCTTCCCTTCCGCTCCTCGCCGCCTCCGGCCCCCTCATTAGGACCCAGCCCACACCTCGTCCGGCGTCCACGGCCCTCCCCCCTCCCACCCCTCACGGCACAAAAGGAACAGCCCAGGCCCCCCCAGCCCGGGACGGGCCAGACCTGCCCCTAGGCGGCCAGCTGAGAAGGCGCCCCCGGCGGGGGGAAACTGACATCCATCAGGGTCCGCCCACCGCTCCCCTCCTCTCCGCGGAGCGAGTCTCTCCTCCTCGCCTGCCCCAGAAGTTCGGGGGCCCCGCGCCCGGCCTCCCGCGCTCCGGCCGCCGGGACCCTCGGCCTCCGAGGAGCAGCCAGCTCGGACCCCGGGAAGATGGCGAGGAGGAGCCGCCACCGCCTCCTCCTGCTGCTGCTGCGCTACCTGGTGGTCGCGCTGGGCTGTAAGTCGCTGGGGTACCTCCGCCCGCCCACCCACGCGCGCTGGGACCGGCCCCGCAGACCTCCAGCCCCTGGACGCGGCGCTCGCTGACCGCTGTCTCTGGGGCCCTGGACTGGGGTGCGCCGCGGGGCGTCGGACTTGGCAGCCAGCGAGACGGAGCGGGGGTGCAGGCAGGCGCGGGGCGGCGCGGGGGTCTCCGGTTTATTGCAAATAGCATCTGATTTTGTCCGTTCTGGGTGGAGAAAATTAAGAGTCCACACCCGCAGGTTCTCACCTTCTTCCAAAGTTGGGGTAAGTTTTCAAAGAGGCAGGGACGCGCACAGAATGCTTAACTCACTCCTTGTAAGATGCTGGGATCTCAAGATGGCATCGGAGGGAGGCAGGCGCCGGCCCCACGCGAGGTGCCGGGGAAGGGGATGGTGTTCGAGTTGCCTTGATTTCTGAGGCTTCCGACCGTAGCGATGAAAGGCAGCGTCCTTGTGGGGCTGGGGGATGAGGGGAATTCGCGGCTGCTGAGCCACAATTACTTTGATCCTTTCCACCTGCACATCTATATTCAGTTAGGGACGTCTGGTCTGGGGACTCCAGCCAGCTGCTGTGTCCTCAGGGGACGTCCAACGGAATGGTTGTTAGAAAGAGGCAGAAGCTGAATGAAACGGGTATGGGGGGACGTCCCAAGGCCCATTTCACGGGGTGGTTCTAAACGGGTTTTTCACGGATTCTGGGCTCCTAAAATCCTGGGAATGTATCCTGTTATTTTGTTTTCTTCGCGTTAACTTTTTAGGAAAATAGAGGAAATCGAAATAGATCTTAAGCACTTCAGCAATGAAATCCTTTTTCTATTGTTTTTCGTTTTTCTTTCTCTTTTTTCCTTTTTTTTTTTTTCTTCAATAGAATGGGTTATTATTGTTGCTATTCAAGTTCTGGTAATATTTAAAATAACCCGCCGGATGAGTGTCTAATACCATAATACAATGACTTTTTCTCACGCTCTTATTGCCGAAGTGAGTATTGCTGAACTCAACGCGATGTGAGCTTTGTTCCTTAGTGGGGGAGGAAGGTGCAAGTTGTCTCAGTGAAGGGACATGTGTTGACCTATATTATAGAAAATCAAACCAAGAAGGCAAGGCTTCACGATAAAACCGTTATGCAGTTTTGAAATTGGTATCGTATTGGACGCACAAAGAAAAAATGCAGGAATGGTAAAGGGCAACAGACAGGCTAGAGGAATTGTCACAAAACTGCCAGGAAAGTTATATACATATTTTGTTGACGATCCTAAATTTCCAATTAAAAAAGACTGATTTTACAATTGCCACTAATTAAAAACAGAGAAAATGGTTTTACTCTTCTATTCTTATTCAGTGATCAAAATAGAAACAATACAAACAATAATACAATTTCAAACAATAAGTTTGAAAGTGTAGCCAAGAAATAACCAAGAGGTAAACACAGGCTTAGATGAATGAGGAGAATAACCTCTTCTTCAGACTTTGGGTAAATCGAACCACTGGCTCTACACTTTTAAGGATTTTTTTTATTTAATACAGAGAAAGCACAGGCAGGGGGAGTGGGAGAGGGAGAAGCAGGCTCCCCACTGAACAGGGAAATTGATGCGGGCCTCAATCCCAAAACCCTTGGATCATGATATGAACCAAAGGCAGACACTTAACCATCTTAGCCACCCAGGAGCCTCTAACCATTGGTCCTTCTTTTTTTTTTTTTTTAAGATTTTATTTATTTACCTGACAGAGAGAAATCACAAGTAGGCAAAGAGGCAGGCAGAGAGAGAGGGGGAAGCAGGCTCCCTGCTGAGCAGAGAGCCCGATGCAGGGCTCCATCCCAGGACCCTGAGATCATGACCTGAGCCGAAGCAGAGGCTTAACCCACTGAGCCACCCAGGAGCCCCACCATTGGTCCTTCTAACCCTGACTCCTGTGGGGGAATAATTTGGGAGTATGTGTGTATCTTTTCTGTGTTGTTCCCAGGATGCTAAAAGGTCTGGCATTGCAAGAATGTTTCTTTCTTTCTTTCTTTCTTTCTTTTTAAAATAAGCTCAGTTATTTTATAACAGTACATTTAAAGAAATAGTGTGAAGATAGTATGGAGAGTTCCATATATACCACATCCAACTTTCCTTTTTAATTATATTTTATATTAGTATGAAACATGTCATAATTAATGAAACCATTTTTGCACATTATTATTAACTAAAGTCCAGACTTTATTCAAATTTCCTTCATTTTTTCCTAATGTCCTTTTTTATTTCAGGATCTCATTCAGAATACTATATTCTATTTAGTAGTTCTGTCTCCTTAGGCTCCTCTTCGCTGTGACAGTTCCTCAGACTCCCTTGGTTTTTATTACCTTGACAAGTTTGAGGAGTACATGTGAAGTATTTTGTAGAATGTCCTGTAATTGGTGTTTTTTTGATGTTTTCTCATGACTTCTATATCAGTATGGGCTTATGAATATTTATTTTATACTTTGGATTATTGTCAAATATGATTTTATTTATTTTAGTACTAAAGTTCTTCCAGCTTTGGCCACTAGGAGTTCTTCTAGTGGTTTCTGTATCCTCTAATACACCCCATTATTATATATATAATGATGGGGTATGTCAGAGGATATATATACACACACACATATGTGTGTGTGTGTGTGTGTGTGTGTGTATGCATTTCTGTTTGTTTTGCTTAGCAATTCCTTTCTTTTTGGCAACACAAAGTGCTTCAGGCTGATCTTTTATGTTTCCTGCTCCAGTCCTAGAATCAGCCATTTTTCCAGAGAGTGCTGGTTCCTTTTATTGGAGAATGGTATTAGAAACCAAGATGTGAGTCTACCGCATACCACCCTGAATACACCTGATTTCATCTCATCTCAGAAGATAAGCAGGGTTGGCCCTCGTTAGTACTTGGATGGGAGAAACCAAGATGTAGGCATTGAGTATGATCTTGGATGAGAGAAACCAAGAAACAGGAATTGGGTACACTCATTGCTATCAGAGTGTTGTTGAAAAACAAGAATGTTTTTCAGGGCTAATCACAAATCCTATTTGTGATTTATCCACTCAGGTTTCATGTCCAGATCCTAAAACTGTATATTAAAAACTTTGTATATATCAGATACTGTTACTAAGGGCTTTTTTGAATAGTCTCTCTTTTTAAGTTCTCAGAAAATGCATAAATAAAAGCAAATAAAAGCAAAATAATATATAATATGATATAATATGACAATAATCCAAAGTATAAAATAAATATTCATAAGCCCATACTGATATAGAAGTCATGAGAAAACATCAGAAAAACACCAATTACAGGACATTCTACAAAATACTTCACATGTACTCCTCAAACTTGTCAAGGTAATAAAAACCAAGGGAGCTCCAATAAAAGCAAATAAAAGCAAATCTTCAGATTACAGATAATGTCCCCCAAGGCTCAAAGAAAGCTCATTCATATAGGCTAGAAAGAAATGGAACTGGGATTTGAAGATCTAAGAATTTGTTCCACAGATAATAGGACTTCTCTCCTTTTTCTCTCCGAGCAGTTAACTCCTTTCACTGTCTTCATTCAAAAAAAAAAAAAAAAAGACCTTGTGGATTTTTATTCTTTAATTACATACTTATCTTCTTAATATCCATCCCCAATATAACTGTACCACCCTTTTGTCCCAATCCTATTGTATTTAATATCATGCTTATTCCATTCCTTTATTTCCATTTGTCTGTATTCTTATTTCTTTCTTAGTCGTCTGGAAGACTTTGGTTGTTGCTGCTACTACTGTTAATTGGACTACTTATTCAGTGTACCTGTTGATATATGGACATTTACGTGTGTGTTTATGAAACTGTATTTTTCTTTACCATGAAAGTGGGAGCTCCATGAGGGAAGGAGTTTTTTCATGTTTGCTCACCACTCTATGCACAATGCTAAGCAAAGCGCCTGGTTAGTAGGAAGTGTAAATAGACATCTGTTGATCAGATAGGAAGGGCATGAGTGGAGGACGTGGAGAAATGGATGGATGGAATTAATGATTGCAATATAAATCATGAAGCTGTAACTAATCCTGGGTAGGTGAGGTGTCTGATTTCTCTGAGGTGACATTTAAGCAAAGCATTATATCAAACAAAGTTGAATGTAACTGGGAGCCGTGTACTGGTAACAGTTGGTCCTCAATTCTGGACTGGAACCCAAGCCAGGCTTACTTGGCCTGAGTCAGTAATCTCTCATTAGCTATTAAGGACGTGGAGCAGGGAGAGGTCTGGATTTTCTGCAAAATCCCAAAGTTCTGCCCTGGTGGCGGAACTGACCCAAAAGAGCACTCCAGGGAACCAGTGCCAGGAAAAGTCTGCCCTCTGTAAACATTGTTAAGAACAAAGCATCATCATCAATCTGCAGAGGAAGACCGGTTCCATCCTGGCATGGTCTTAATTATCTGATGAACATATAGGTCAGATTGGGCTTGCTGGTACACCTGATAACGGTTTTAAAACTGAGACAGAGATGACATTCAAAAGGAAGAAGTCTAAACCCCCCCCCCAAAAAAAAAAAAACAAAACAAAATAAAACCCAAAGGAAGACGTCTAAAACAAAAAGTCAGAATAAAGAGAACAGTTAATTCCCTAAGGCTGATGATACTCATTTTCCTTCCACCAGAGCAGTTTAATGAGAGGAGCGCATGTGCATTTACACATGTTTTCTCTACCCATGGTTTCTATCACATTGGTTTCCTCCAGTAGGCCTTGTTGGTAGAGAAGATGTTTTGAACTAGGGAAGCTAGAGCTGCTGTATTTGTTGAAGTGGGACCAGAAGAAATCTGTACAGGCCATTTTTTTAAAATGACCTTCTCATGCCATGGCACTGCTGAGTCAGTACTCCAGTATACCTGGATTGCCAGATTGATGCCTTGAGGAAGATAAAGGTCAGTATAGAAAAGGGGGAATCAGAATCTAGGTCAAGGGCTTGCTTTGGCAAAAGCAGAGAAAGAAAACTTAAAAGT